ATTAGAACGAGGCATCTCTCAGCTCTACACGACCTTTCTTTGCAAAGTTATAGAGTTTACAAGAAAAGCCCTAAATTCATTTTTCGTTTTTCTTTCTGTAGCTCTGAGGTGAAAGTGAACATTTAGGGCTTTTCTTGTGAACTCTATAACTTTGCAAAGAAAGGTCGTGTAGAGCTGAGAGATGCCTCGTTTTAATCAGAAATTTATAGACTACAATTACGCCTCATTAAGAAAACTTTTGGTTGTTGTTTAGAGTTTCTCAAAAACTGATTTTCCAGAAGATCGGTCTTTGAAGGCCTAGCAGCAGCATTCATGGTGATATTCGGAATCAGCATCGTCGACTACCTATAGTTCACTCGGTTTCGTTGAAAAAGCAATTTATCAGTTGGGGTACTTCCCTCACAAGCCTCTTTAATACATTCAAATTCGCCTGTTCAAACATTAACTCGCCATCCGTCGTATCTGATAACACTGTAAAATACTTGTTCCAATGCTTCAAACACTTCTTCTCCAAACATATTTCGTTAAACACAAAAGAAAAGAAGTTATCACGCTAGTGTAGTGTCATTTACTTTATGAAACATATCAAGAAGAGGAATGGGGCGAGTACCAGAAACTTAATAATAAGTATAAATGGACTTTTCTAATTAGAACTGCTCGTTTTTGAATACACGTCACATTCATATGATGCAATAGAACATCGAGCCACAAACGTCAACAATTTCGTTCTTACTTATTAGCTGCATTAATTGTATTTATTACTTTGTACGTGTGAATTAGGCATACAACGGTAGCGGTAGTTTACCGGTTTACCGTAACCGGTACTACCGTTACTATCGGTACTGTCGCTACCGTTCTACCGGTACTATCACTACTGTTCTACTGCCGTTATCGATCCACAGGTTTTATCGTTCATTGTGGACAGATAGTATCGATCCTAGAGAGAGTGAAATTCTGTAGAGCATATGACGATGTCGTTATTGTAACAGATTTTAATGTTTTATTCTACACTAGAAATAACCCGTGGAAAACCACGGACGCCCAGCGTTTCATTCATTTTTTCATTCATTTTTCGATAACTGATTTATTAACTAATAATAATTAATACCTCATTTCTGAATTTATCAGTTGAGGTACTTCTCCCCCTCGTTAGTTGAGGAATGTAAATAGTGTTAAGGGGCTTTTCAGATCAAAACGCTACGTGCATCACACTTCTTTATTGGAGAGATACGTTTCCTGGTGCGCGGAAATTGCTTCGAACGAATCGATCCTAAACTACGACATAGAAGAGGTTATGACCCTGGGTGACTTTCCTGAAACGTTTGGAGGGTAATTCATACTTTCATTATTTACTTTTCTTAAACATGTGAAAAATGTTACAAGAATGTTTTATTTTTATTTTTTATTTTTAAATGTAAATATAAAACAAGAATCCTTTTTATTCATTACTACGAGCTGATTTCATTCATCCGATCAAAAGTTATAGTCAAAATGAAGGCCGTAACAGAATTTCAAAAAATGAAAGGTGTTTTTTCGCAGCTTTTAGAACTTTGATAATTTCTCTAAAATTAGACACCACAGGAAGACCTTGTCCCTATGAAACTCGTAGAATTTTCTTCAGGCTTTCAGAATATCTAATTGGTTTTATCTAAGGATGTCCGGATCGGAAAAAGAGCAAAACTACGTCCGGAACGGAATTTCATCTTTTTTTTCTTGGTTCCATATGTGGTGATTACTCCCCATTGCGAAGTTTCACTGGGAGAAATTTCACGTGATACCTTCGATTGATCGGACGAAATGCTGATGCACCTCACTCGAATTAAGGATATAAACTCTTTTCCCGATTTTTGACTTCTGTTTGGAAAAGACCGCCGAGCTCCCAAAGGCGTCCGATTTTGCAGATAGAGTTCACTGAACTCAAGAAACTCTCTCATATGAATGAAAAAAAATTTCACGCAAACTCCTGAAACGAAGAAGACCGTTAGGTGGGCAAGCCGTATAGAAAGATATACTACGATCACTCACTGTCTTAATGTTGAAAACTTGTTCACGAACATTCCGATAGATGAAACAAATTACATTCCGTAGAAGACAGTTAATCAAGATCTAGATTAGGATTCATTTTTAGCTATAGCAGAAGTAGAACAATGTGAAGTTTCATATAATATCATATCATTCCGTAGTTTATTTACTTACGAGGGAACCTTTCTAGGTGATTAAACGCTTTTTGCTCGGAATCTAGTGAGTTATAGGTTATTGATCATGCTAATTCGAAATATGACCATGGGGGTTGCTCTTAGTCCTTCGAAGATCTGGTTTTCTAGAAACTCTAAAATATAACCATGAGGCATGATTGTAGCCCGCAAATTCCTGATTAAAATGAGACATCTTCCAGTTTTACACGACCTTTCTTTGCAAAGTTATAGAATTTACAAGTACACGGGCAACTCCCATGGCCATATTTGGAATTAGCATGGTCAATAACCTATACGCTTGATTCCGAGCAAAAAGCGTTTAATTACCTAGAACGGTTCCCTCGTTAGTAAAATACTTTTCGTCCAGAATGTTTTCATTTTTGAAACATTAAAAAAATTTGTCAAACAAATTGCTAAAATTAAAAGGTTGAAGATTATAGTTCCATATCAATTTCATTATTTCTATAAGCAATATATAAAGATTTATAGGGACAAGAACATAACCATCTTGAATGACTCGTTCCAGACTTTTAGCTTTGATGATTCCGCAGTTATAAGCATTTTCCGTTCGTACGTCTATCTCCGTAACAAAGAAACTAAAAATTTTAAACTCTGTTGTTACACATTCGATCGACCACGCTGATCATTCCGGCAATGTTTATTCCGCTCAGCGTGTATGGTAAAATTGGTAGAATAAAGTCGAAGAGTTCAGAAATCTATCAGAGTGCTATCCTGCTTAACAAATAGAAAATAGAACAAAATATATATTAGTCATTTATTCCCTTTTACGAAATAATTAATTGCGATGGGCGCAAGATCATCTTTAGTTTTCTGTTGTTTTTTTCAAAGATTTTGTTGTTTTTCTTGAACCGTGTTTTCAAATAGTTGAAGCTTTATGGGTCAATCCATATGGTTCCTACCACGTTATACAAAAGTGACGGAACAGGTCTAAAACATCTCAAAAAAACTCAGGTTTTCCAGTAATCCCAACGAATTTTGGATACATCGAAAAATTCTTCTAAATCGTCCAGTCGATAGTCCATTCAATTCTGAATAAAATGATATGTCTCCGAAGTTTTTAGCACCTTCCAGCAAAGAGCTGTGAGGAAAATGCGGAAAGCAGAAGCTTATAATGCCGAAAAATGCGCTTTTGTTCTGAAAATTAAAATGAGTGTAACTTTTGTTCCTAGACCAATAGCGAGCTATGGGCTCCATCATTGGAATTAACGTGCAAAACTGCATCAGAAAATGTGTTTCTCGTCTTCTGCATTTTACATCGATGCAATGGTGGTAGGGTCTATATGGATTTACCCTTATTTAGATGAGAAAAAACAAACGTTTCTTCAGACATAAATAATAAAGCAAATTGTACTTGAAACTGAACTAACCAGCAGTCAGATAAATCAAATACTTTCCATTGTCCGGATTATGTTCAACTTTGTCAACGTCATAACAATGTCCAGCTACTATAAGGACTTCTTCTTCGTGTGGATAGTGAGAAAGGTAGGAGATGTCACGTAGTTGACCTCCCATGCGTCCACTCGGACGTATGATAAATAACGTATTTCCAAATTGTTCGGCTTGCTGACGTGATTTCGATGTTGAAGTAAATGCAGGCCAAGTAATTTGTGTTCCAACTGCCTGTATATATCCGTCAATCATTTCATTCGTTAGTGTACAACCACGATAGAAAGCTGTTTTTCCTGGTCCTTGTGTATTTAAGCGTAAATAGTACCTTAGCACATTACAATACGCGCCTAATGTATCAACTTTAGTCATATCTTCGTTTCTTAGTGTAGTGTTCACCAGTTTGTATAAGAATGATTCAGCTGAATAAAGACGCGCACAACAATGGAAAATTTCGTATGGCTTATCTTTCACGTCTCGTAGTTTCTCAGCAATCAACTGACTTTCAAACTCTTGCTTCAATAATTTCCCTTCTTTTAGAATACCTGAAAGATAGAAAGGAGAAGTGATAAACAGATCTTACTAAAGCAGTAAATGAAAATGAACGTCACCTTGAGCTGCTTGCTCAACCGTTTCTGGCCAATGACCATCTATTGCTTTATTTCTCTTCTTCCATTCCATGATAACTTTAGATCTATAAGTAGTTCCGAATGATTTGACAGCTTTTTCTGGATAAGAGAATCGTTCCTCTCTAAGAAAGTCTCTTACAGGTACTTCTTCTCGCTTAACTGATCTCTGTTTATTTCTGTCGGCTTTACTAATTTGTACCATGCTTTTTAAGTCAACAACGTAGTCACCCACTTCAACTTCACTTTCCTCTTTCTTCAGATATTTGTCTTCGATAAATTCCGTTTCAAAATCTGAATAGCGTGTCCATTCCTTTGTTTCATTGAGAACCCATGGATTTGGATTCGACTGCCATGACCAAACGCTTCTCTTTGCTGACGATAACAACGAAATTGTCACTTCTGCCGATTTCACTACCGACGTCGACGCGGCAGATGTCGTAGCCTTTTCTGTATTCATCTGATATTTCTATGTTTTACTCGAGATCTTAGCGCCACTTCATTCGATGTAATTTTAATTGTTTTAGAGAATAAGTTAAGCGATAGTTGAGAGGGAAAAAGAGCAGTGTAATAACGATGTTGTCGTTCACGCACATGCATATTTTACCTTTTTATTTGAGATCTTATCTATTCCTTATTCTGCATTTTCTTTTTCTACTCACTTCTCTCGAGAATAAATATTTACAATATGTATTTAGAATACATAGCACATTACAATATGCGCCTAATGTATCAACTAGACATGCAACAATCCCAAGCTAGGGATCGTTGATTGGCACCGAATTATCGGATTGGTGCATGCCTAATATCAACTTTAGTCATATCTTCGTTTTCTTAGTGTAGTGTTCACCGGTATGTACAGGAACGATTCAACCAGAAATGCGGAGTTCGCGCCGACCTTCTGAATTTCTTTAAATACGATATTCTTGGTTAGAACTGAGATATGTCTCAATAAATGCGTTGAACCCGTCGGTAAAGTGCCGTAATGGAAATACCCCCTTTTTGAAGAATTACTGTTCGAAACAGAAACCAAAAGTACTTCATCTCATCCTAGTCTGCCGTAACTTGAAATATTTGGCACATTACGTTGGTCGAATTAAATCAGTCGTCGACAAATAGAAAATCAAGCTGATTTTCTATTTGTCTGACGAAACATATTTGATATTCTCCACATTCATTTGACACTGATATTTTACTTCACTTCCCGTACTACTCTTCTTACCACTACCAGCTGATTATCACACAATGCAGTTAGTTCAGTCATTGAAAATAAATCGGGATCACCATCAAATTTTGCAAGTTCATCCGCTGGGCAGTCTGGTCCGAGACGTGCTCTAACACTTACCTTTGAAGTTAAATCAACTTATCGCTCGGTGGTTCGTTTAACAGTTCAATTGTCATTTTGGGTTGAAGACATTTGGTGTCGATTGTTTCAACTTCGACCATGATAATTGTAGGTGAAAGTATTTGATTGTTACGATAATCCTTCAGATAGAAATGACCGTGAGTTTTATTAACATAGGTAGTATTATAGACTAATTCACAATTGAATGTGATGCTGACAGTTAGAAAACCATCGAGTGTGTTCGAGTGAGGTTCACATTTAATTTCATCTCCTAGTAAGTAACAAAACATTTACTATTGTCCATTCAAAAAAAGAATAACCCATGACTGTTTTTTTAATAACTCAAGAATGGAAGCACTTAGCGACCTGCGGTTTCCACCATTAGAAAGAGCGAAGTGTGGGACGTAGGTCTATATAAAAGTCGATGAGTCTGCTGGTAAAAATATGCGTTACTTACGGCTTTAAATTGTAGTGAAAATTGCAGTAAAATATACCTATTCTTGAACATTAACCTCGGAAGGCAACTGATTCAAATGTCAGGTATACGTTAAACCATACCTCTTCATTATTCGAACTCAGCAAGATAAAATCTTGAAGTTGTTCCGTTAAAAAAGAAGAACTTCCACGATAAAAAGGAAGTCGCAGGTTTTAAAAAAAGTGTTGATTATTTGATGACTTTTGGGAAATTTACTCAAAAATTCCTGATATGAGTTTTGTATAATAGATTAATTTTTACACAGGCCTACGTCCCACGGTTCGCTCTTTCTAATGGTGAAAACCGCAGGTCGCTAGGTGCTTTTCAAAAGTTTTGCAAATGTAATTTGACATAGAAAAGTGGAAATTATTGAATATAATTTCCAATAAGCCAAGTAATCTGCATTTTTTTGGGACGTGGAACATATTTAGAAAAAGATTTCCCTGTAGTTCTCATCAGAATTCTATTATGAATCGAATGAGACATGACACTTGGTGTTAAACGAAAAAAAATCTTTCATTCCGGAAACCCAGCAAAGGGCATCATCTCTTAGACGCAAAATGAAAGGTCGTATCAACCTAAAGTGTCATACTTCATTCGATTCCTTATTGAATTCTAATAGGAGCTGCACATAAATCCATTTCTGAGTGCGTTTCTGGTCCAAAGAAAATATCGATACGTTGTTGCCCGATTGAGTACATTTTTAAAAATTCTCACTTTTCTCCGCTGTTTTCCCAATTTATCGAAGCTCTGATAAGTATTTCTCAATCTCCGCACATTTCTCTCTAGACCCATATGAATCATCGACAGTCTGCAGGTTAAAGTACAGAGAAAAAGTTGAGTCAATCTCAGCTAAAAGTTTCGATATCTGGCACTCAGCATCCAAAATATGGATCTGTGGAATAGTGTGACTCTGTAAAAGATTTTTTTCCCCTAATTTTTAGTAAAAACATCACGTCAAAAGCAGCGCTAGGAAATGCTAGTCTGTTACTTTAGGTGAAGAAGAGCAAGATCGTTGGTGCCGAACGCTCGGTACCGGTACCGACAATTACCTACTTCAGATTCTCTTTAAAAATATTCCTAATCTTCTTTTATTCCTCTTTTTTCAGTAAATTACAATCCGAGGCCAGTATACAATTCAGTATTTTTTTGTTGATAAAACTGGCGAGATTTTACTCTTTTGATCTTCCAACATAAAAAGTTTCTAATTGCGGACAATAGGTTTTGAATTTATCATCTACTAATAGTGATACATCTTTTTCAATAACATATAGTTTTAAAATTCTTAATTTTGGACAATGTTCAATAAATTTAGTGAGAAACTCTATTGAGAGTACCATTGATTGATCAACATTCATTTCTAATTGTTCTAATAATGGATGATTTTTAGCAAATTCTATGAAAGCATTTTCACTAAAATGAATTATTGGTTGTTCATGTGATTCATCTTCTATTGTATGTCCAGTGATACCACCATGTTTCAATATAATATTTCTTAGATTTCTATTAGTGTTCAAAATTTTTAAACATCTGTCAGAAAGCTCTAGATGACCTTCTAAATCAATTGACACTAGTTTTCGTAATTTGGCTATAATTCTAAAGAGAATAATATCATTGATGTACAACTGTTCTAAACTATAATGTTGATATTTCCATCCACAACACCACCAAATACGTACTTTTAAATGTTGTAAATTTATTAGATTGAATATTATAACATCCATAGTATATGCATAGTTTACACTCCATGTTTCTAACTCAAATTGATTTACATTTGGAAATATTTTCAATAATAATTCTACAAATTCATTTTGATTTTGGAATATATTTGTTCGTAATGATAAATATTCAACAAGTGGAAATGATTTTACATTTGTTGAATCAATTTGTACCTCTGATGGTTTGAAAAATGGATCCTTTGTAGTTCTATTATCAGTTATTTTCATGCCCCCACACATTTGGAAAAACTTTAACCAGTATTCAAAACTATAAAACCATGACCAACAGTTACTTTGACTTTGATGACCAAGGTCAATTGTAATTTTTTTAATAATTTGTCTTGATTTGTCATTCCAAATGCTGACAATAGGTAAACGAGCATTCAAAATTAATTCGTGTAGATTTGGCGTAATAAGTTCATCTGTTAGATCACGAATTAAATCAGTTTTATCATCAAAAAAATTGTAATCTGGTTGATTATTCGAATATGGTGGACTATCAACAATTATTTTTTCTAACGTTTTACCTTGTACTTGTAAAAGTTGTTTTGCTATTTTTAACTCTTCATGTTGTTTTTTAACAACAATACGTAGATATTTTAAATTTGGTACAAATGTAAATAAATTTGACGTCATTGATTGATAAATCGATTCTCTACAAAAAGCAGATTGATTTTCATATTCTTTATGAGAAATTTTCATCTCCTTTTCAATATTAAATGTCGCCAGATAATTATAATCAATAATAATTGAATTCCATCTTTGGCAAACATTAGCACAATAACTGAGATCAATAAATGATAAATGTGTGAATATCTCATTTAATATTTCTGTTGGAAAATCATTCAAAAACATAATTATTCCGATCTTTTACCGTTTGAGTTTTTATTAATAGTTTATTTTTATTGTGTATCAACACGCGGTAATGTGCAGTGAAAGATTAATAAAAAACTTTCTTTCTTTCGTTCTTCATGTTTTGTAATACATTAGCTACACAAATGCCTTGACTCATATACAGAGGTGGAATGGCGTTCGTAAGAAATCATTCACATATTTCGTAAAACGTAGAGATCTTTTGTTTTCAGGGTCAGAATAACTTGCCTGCTGACTTTGCCTATAGATGACAACTGATTGAAACTTTTTTGTTTAAAATCAAACAATATTTAGAAATAAAATAAAATAATCTTGATTTTAATTTAAACGGAATCTTATGGTTAAAGTAAAACATAAAAGTGAGCGTTGATAGCGGCAAAGATGTCATTAGTAGGCAGATAAACGACTTGCCCAGTACACATTCTTTCAAATACTTGGTTTGTTGTAAGATTAGGTCAGTGGAAGAACTGGACTTATCGAACATACTTTTTAGGACTGTTCACTCTAAAGCAGAACTAATAAAATTTGTGGCTATTTCTGCCGTATCTAACAGTATTTCAAGTTCTAGGTATATTTTTCCAAAACTGTAAAACAAATGAGAATACACAAGTAGAGATATTAGTCGATCGTTAACTTGAGTTGTTCGTTCTTAAACAAGTGATGATGATTTCACAGTTCAGTTCCATTTTAGTGTTATTCATTATTGACATTTAATTCATCTAAAGTTGTCAGTGTTTCTTGTGTTGACATTTACCTACTTCTCCTATAAGCTCCACTTTTATCAGTATATGACGAAACCTTTAAATATCATCAGAAGCAGTAGAGCAAAGAACATATTTTGCTTGTTGACACCAAAAAGAATTATTAAGAATTATTAACTACTATCCATTTCAATGAACAATGCACCTGGTTGTAGGCTTATCTACTTCAGATCAAGATAATATTGCAGAAGTGTTGCGTTTTACTTTAGCTTTCTTCTAGTTGACTATTTATCATTAAAAAATGGAAATCCCAAATCAGATCCAAAATCGTTTCTTGTTATAACTGGTTTCTTTTGATCATCAGTCAATAAAGAAAGAGGAAGATGAAACAAATATAAATATAAATTCTAATTATCTTTTTGCGCCATTTTTACAGGTAGGCAGAGGAGGAAGTTCTCTATAAGCCTATCTAAAAATTGTTCCAGGCGAAATTCCCGGTATTTTGCTGAAAGCGCTAACGAACATTTCCAATTACTCCACTTAGGATAATTGGAAACAACAATAGAAATTGATGAGGTAATTGGGTACGCCAAGTACGGGAAAATAATTCATTAGTAAAAAACAGTTTTCTCGTTAAGTCAATGATACTAATTAATAAGTTTTGCACAGGTAAATAGATCAATTATTGCTCTACAAATGGTGAGAATCTCCAAGTTCTACTCATTAATTAGCCTGAGCTGCAATTAAAAGTGTAAACGCTAAGAAATTATTTTTTAAGAGATTGTTGAGAGATTGTTATTGACCTTTATCAGTTCGAAAAAGTTCAGTGTTAAAGTTTAAATTTAAAAAAGAATAGAGAAAATAAAGTGAAATTAGAAAGAGACTTTCTAGAGCTCGCCTAAAGAACCATGATCACGTAAGTTGAAATCTCGTCAAATCCCTACGTTTGTTCAGATTTTAATTCTCCATCCAATCCCGTCTGAACCAAGAGTCCATCGCTTATCTGAACTGAGCTATTTCAATTTTAGAATAAGTTGAACTTTTTAAATTTCAAATTAAACTCAAAAACTGAAATTTCGAGTTGAAGAGTTGATTTTTTTTTCTCAAAATGTTCGCCCTTTGACGCTGAATTCAAATATGTCATTAAAAATGTTTTATGTCTTAAGAGTGATTTTTAAAAATCGTTTTAAGAAGCAGAAGTAGCCCCAAAACCATGGCTTTCTAGAGAACCCTGCTTCAGAGAGTTTTAGAGACGGCTTTCTAGAGAAGACAAGAAAGAGGACGTTGAGAAACTCTAAAGCGCTGAGTTTCATAAAGTTTAATTCAGTGATTCAGTGATTAATTACTATCATTGGCTGAACGAAAAAACTGTTTTTCACTAATGAATTATTTTCCCGTACTTGGCGTACCCAATTACCTCATCAATTTCTATTGTTGTTTCCAATTGTCCTAAGTGGGGTAATTGGAAATGTTCGTTAGAGCTTTCAGCAAAATACCGGGAATTTCGCCTGGGACAATTTTTAGATAGGCTTATAGAGAACTTCCTCCTCTACCTACGTGTAAAAGGGCGCGAAGAGATAATTAAAATTAAGAAATTTATACGAATTAGAAGTCCAAAGAGCCAAAAATCGTTTCCAATTGCCCCCGTTTCCTGTATGAGATTAATAACCATTAAATTATGAGATTAAATGAACCATTTAAATTTTATTTAATTATTTAATTAAATGAACCTCTATGAGATTAACTTAACCACAATAGTGCAGTCAGTAATTATGCACATACTAGTACAAAAATTTCCTGATAATTCATGATGGTTTTCCAGATATATTAAAATGGGACTCGGGTGGTTTTCCGTGGCTCTATCATTCCACATGGCGTAAAAATAATCAACTCACTTACGTCGATGGGGTAAAAGGGTCAATCCATTCAAATACATGAAGTTTCCAAAAACAAATCTGTACAGACTTCCCAAGATCGCTTTTAATACTACTGTGAATGTGAAAGTTGTTAATTGTACTGTCATCTTTTTCTGATCGCTTTTTCATATAGCTTAAGAATAAGATGAACATATAGCACAATTCAAGTGAAATTTTGTTTCGAACTTTTTATATACCATTCGATAGAGAACTGAACGCTGATCACGGCAAACACTTTCCCGGCTCCCAAAACCCGTTCATCGCCGAGCCAGCCTCAAAATACACTGAAGGTGTCCAAAACCGCAAAAAAAGAGAGTTTTTGAAAAATGGTTCTAGTTTTTTCGCGTTTTATTTTTGTGATTCAACAGTGGGCTCATTCGATTCAGAATCGAAAGCTGATTCTAGAAAAGTAAGTGTCGAACCTCTAAAACCAAAATAGGATTTGTCCGGAACCCCGAAACCCGAACCTCGAAAAAATGCCGATCGTACTAAATGTTATTAAAAGTCGACTTTTTTTTCGGCCGGTAAATAGGTGTTTTTCGAGAGACAAACGGCCACGCAGTCTCGAATGCATGTTCCAACATTTTATTGATGCAGTGCGCACTACAACCTACACGTGTTGCATTTTGTTTCTGACGGTTTCGCATAGGGTGACCAGTTGACCTTTCACATTGTTATACACCCGTACAACATGACGAGAAATCTTGAAAATAAAAGATTATTCACTTCTTGTAGCTGCATCATGGTTGTCATACATCCATGTTTTATCAGTTTTATTTAGTTCCTTCTGTTTTCATAGTATCTCTTTGTGTTACGGTATACATTCTTGGGTTAATTCTTTCTTAGTTTACGTCAAT